ATTATTATTATTATTATTATTATTATTATTATTATTCTGAGGGAAATGCTGAGTGGGGTTCATCGTCTCCATATCACGGCGGCACCTATCGTGGTGTGGGGCGGGTGGCGCTACTGCGAAACGTGTGTGCATCGCCGGAATGCGTTGACGCCGCGGTGTTGTGTATTCACTCCCGCCGCCCCGCAGCGTCTCATTTGTGGAGATCATCGTCGTCGCCGCCGCCTCGCTGCTGATGGAGCGGCCCGCGGGGGTCAAACACAACGCGACGGGAACCTCCGCAGGCGGCGGCGACGACAGCCACAAATCACGTGAACTGCAAACACTGCTGTTCATATCCGTCGCAGTGCGGAATACACCACGACAACAACAACTGCCGTGTTCATGAACTCGTATCATTGTACCACCAATGCAACTCTTCCGAGATGCAGTGGCACCACCGGGCTGAGAAGAACTGCCTGTTTGCGGAACACTACAGAATGATTCACACATTGTCTTTCCATGATGGGAAAGAGGAATAGCAGTATTGGTCCTCACAGTAACGGTTACAGGGGTATTATTGATAATAGCAACAGGGGGGCTCTCTAGCGATAGTTGTGCACCACGTATAGAAGGATTGCAACCATCATCATCATCATCATCATCATTCACTTCCTCCTCTTCTTCCTCTTCCTCTTCGCCAGTTTCCTTTACCTGATGCTCTTGATACCACTCTTCCCTGAACCCTTGAATCCTGGTATTCTTCTTGTTGTTATTGTTGCTGCTGTTGCTGCTTATGCTAACACTAACATTATCACTATCACTGATGCTGTCGGTTTTTCTTTGTTTTGAACGTTCTTTGAAAAACGCCACGAGTTCCTCACCCTCCACATCCAATGGTCTATCATCACCCTGTGCAGTGCTAATTTCTTCAAGCCACTCCACTACAGCAGTCTCCCCCTTAACGAACACGGTGGGTATGGGACTGTGGTTCCTGGTACAGTTACAGTGGTGGTGATGTCCCAGCAGCTCAGAAGGTTGCTTCTGAGCTTTTTCTGCCTCAGGCATCACACAATATTGCAGAGGAGAAGTGTATCACCAAAACAATATATATAAAAAAAAAACACTGATGATATATATATATATATATATATATATATATATATATACGCAGAGATAAATAACAAAAACGGGAAAAAAAGGTGAAAATTAACTCTCTCTGTATTATGGGAGTATGTATTTCTGTGGGAATGGGAGAGGAGGAAGTACGGGTATTGCTCTTCCCTTTGTAAAAGTAACTAAAACTTCTAACTCCTCTTTACCCTCTCAATACACTTTTTTTTGTTTTTGGTGGTGTCCCGCGTTCGTGGTTTGTTTTCCTCTTCTTTTTTGTTTCCTTCCTGTGTACCCCTAAGGGCCTTTGTTGGTGTTACTGTTTCCCTTTCTTTTTTTTTTTCTTTTGGCTTTTCTTCGTCTATGATAAAACGCTCTTCCACATATATATATATATATATATATATAGACTATGAAGGGTAACAAAATCAAGAAGATCAAGAAAAAAAAAAGAAGGAAAAGACATGGTATCAACAGTACTGAAGTAAAAAAAAAGATTTTTTTTTTTTTTTTAAAAGGAACAGTGGAATCCATGCTGATTTAAAAAAAAAAAAGATCAGAAATAGAAAACAGCTCTCTACTATTTCATCCTCTTTCTAATGGGAGTTATTCTTCTTTTCTTCATGTGTTGCTTCGAGCTGGAGATGTGCTCCAATAAACATATATTACTTGCAAGAAAAAAACGTTTTCGGTACATTATGTTCTCCATTTCTCCATATTTCTTTTTTTTTTGTTGTTGTTGTTATTGTTGTTGTCGTCGTCGTTCTCTCTTTAGTCTTCAATATATATCAGCTTCTTGGTTTTTGATATCTCGCTTCTTGTAGATGTACGTCTACTTTCTTTTTTTTTTTTTTTCTTTCCCTCTCTTGTTACTCATTTGATTTCACACACTGTGGGGCGTAGTGGTACCAATGATGAACGCGTTTGACCACACCAATCAACTCTTCACCACGAAACCGTCCGAGTGCCCCACGGCTACTCTCCACTTCACTGTAGTACATCACATCATCCCGTGTGATATTGTTATTTCCCTTTGTTGCAATAGAGACTGGGACGGGTTCGCAGGAGTGGTCACCGAGTGTGACGGGTGTAGAGTGGTCGGCGAGTACTACCATAGTACTTCCATCAGGCACTGCGTCCCAGAGTTGTTGCATTGCCTCACCGCACTTCTGCAGCATCATGATCTTTTTCTCAAGACTTCTGTCGTGCCCGGCGTCGTCAACACCCTTGACGTGAATCACAACAAAGTTATTGCCACTTTCTTCTTTCTCCTTTTCCTCCTCTTTCTCTTTTTCCATTGTTTCTGTGTGGTGAGAACGTATACCTAGTGTGTGAAGTGCGGTTTCCACCTTTGCACGTACATTGGTGTGGTAGTCGCCTGTGGCGCCTGGTGCCTGCACGGGGTGAAGTCCGCAGCTGGCGGCGAGTCCTCGAATAATGCACGTTGGTGCCACGACGGCGCCTATCAACGCGTGTCGCAGGGCGAATGACGGCACTTCCCCGCGAGTGGCGGCGCCGCGGAGAAGCAACGCGTTTGCCGGCGGCTTCCCTGCCGCCATGCGTGCGATGTTGATGGGATGATCGCGCAGCCGGGCGGTGAGGCGGCGGGCGGCGGCGTTCACCACGCGACTGGTGTAGCGGGCGGCGGCGTAGTCTTTGTGCGCGGGGCCCACCGCCGGGGCGCAGTGGCGGAGCGGGCGGCCGTCGGCGAGCGGGTCGGTGCCCGTCACGAGCGGCGAGAGGCCGCGGCCGGTGATGGCGACCCCGCAGCGGTGCTCCGTCGCGTACTGCACCCGCACCGTGTGCCGCGGCGTCTCCTCTCTCTTCTCGTCCGTGTTGTTCTTGTCGTTATCAGCATCGTTGTTGTCATCATCATCACTGTAGTCATCGGTGTCAATGACAGTTCCATCGAGGAATGCGGCCAGAACAGGGCCTTCTGCGGTAAAATCACGGTCACAACGGCGGTGGGTCACTATACCCGTAACTTCATCCAAAACGGAAAAGTTGCTCTTGAAGGCGATGTCCGTCTCATCAAGCGCAAGACCGGCCCCAAGCGCCTCAAAAGCCCCTCGACCTCCGTAGTACTGCTTTGGTGGGTAACCAAAGAGCGCAAGGTGCGCTGTGTCACTGCCACAACTCACACCAGATTCGTAAACATCCATAAGCCCATTCACTCCGTTCTCTGCAACCACATTAATACCTGACGAAACGCACACATGTCGAGTGTTATTAATATTATTATTTTCCTCGATGTTATTGTTACTGTTCCTAGAATGTTCACCCTCTTTACTTGTCTCCTGTACCTCATTTGTTTGGTTATACTCTCCAAAAGGCACACCAGCAACTGCCTCTAGAGGTGTGCGGTTGTTGAGCTCCGCGTATGTGGCGTCTCCAATACCATCAATAATAAAGAACACAATTGGTTTAGGACGTATAGGTACACCGCAGACACCACTATACGGACATCCAATTTTATTCAGTCCTTCCTGGAGCTCCGCTGCCCAACGCAAGTGGGCAGGACACCCATTAAAACGAGATCCATACTCACGCAGACACTCTGCCGCAGAAAACCGTTGTAGAAGTCGCGTACTTCTTACAGGAACAATGGCGTTCCAATCTTCTGGGTAGTCTTTCTGACGAAAGTATACTAGTGCTTTTACCGTCCCATCTTCATTAAGATGAAGCATGCTCTCTACTATTTCCTCATTATCCAGGGGAATAACATCAATATCACCAGTAGTATACGTGCCCTTCTCTACGTCCTCAAGGACATCAAGCCATCTCTTCATAGTTTCCGTCACCATAAACAACTCACCCACAACAAAGTGAGATGCAGCAACATTATCCCTACCATCACCTTCACGACTATTATTATTATCGATAGAAGTAGTACCACTATGGTTGATACTGCCCATCACGTTATTGCTCCCATTTCTCTCTCCCTCTTCAACTTCAGGTTTGTCAAGCAGACACGGCGAACAGCTGTGAGATCCGGGGAGTAAATTTACAAACAGCGGGTACCGTTCTCGCGTCTGCGCTGTCCCTATGAATTTGGAATGGCAAGGGTCTGCCATCCACCAAGCATAGTTGTTCTCACCACGCTGGAGAGTCCCATAAACAAACAATAAAACAGATGGCCTTTCCGAATCACATCCCATTTCAATCACAGAGACTCCTCAAAGGCATAAAAAAGAAAAAAAAAAACAATACTAATATTAATGATGACAACAAAAACAAAAAAAAAAAAGCAACCAGTTACTCAGCAACAAGCACAGCATGGGGTAAAAATTAAAAAAAAAAAAAAAAAAAAATACCAACCAAAAACAAAATCACCGCCAACGAAAAAAAAAAAAAGAAACAGTGTTTTACGAACACATCCTACATCAACTAACCACGTTATCATTGGAAGAAGGAAAAATAATAAAAAAAAACGTACAGTAATCAGAGGAAAAGGTCATAGAAGGGATATCTCGACACAAAACAACCCCAGCACAAGCACAAGCACAAGAACAAATCAATCAACCGCCACAGACACACACACTCTACAACAACATCCACAAAAAAAAGACAAGAAAAAAGTAATGAATTGAGAAAATACAACTCCATACAAATACATACATACATATATATATATATATATATATAACAAAACTACATCATCACTCTAAACATAAAAATTACTCCTAAACATAAATTTCCCCAAAGATACATGGTTTGCCCGGCCCAATAAAAATATATATATATATATAAGGTAAATCCAACGCATAAAACAATGGCAAAATCCCACCACAAAATACTTCTAGCACAAAAAAAGAAAAAAATCACACAACAAACAAAAGAAAAACTACTCCCACAAACCGTCCGCTGCTTTCCTTCGCTCCTCCTCCAAATTTTTCTTAACTTCTTCGAGCCGCTTCTTCTGCGAATCACGCTGCTCTCGAACCTGCTCAGCCTTGCGGCGCTCTTCTTCCTCACGTTTCTTTTGTGCGGCAAGCAGCTCTTCTTCCAGCTGCTTCTTCTGCTCTTCAGCCTCCTTAGCCTTCCTTGCGTTTTCTTCTTCGCGCCGTTTCGCGATCTCCTCCTCATCCTTCTTCAGCTTTTCAATCAGAGCCTTCTTCTTCTCGGTATCCTCACGACGAGTTTGTTCCAGCAGCTGGGCGCTTTCATCACGTACATCCTCTTTGACCTTCCTTCGCTCCTCCTGCAATTGCTGAAGCTTCTCCCTGCGTGCCTTTGCCTCTTCACGCCGCTTTTGCGCCAGTTCAGCCTTGCGGCGCTCTTCTTCTTCACGCTTCTTTTGTGCGGCAAGCAGCTCTTCTTCCAGCTGCTTCTTATGCTCCTCGGCCTCCTTAGCCTTCTTCTTGTTCTCTTCTTCACGTTTTTTTTTCGCCTCCTCTTCCTCCGCTTTTACTCTTCGTGCTGTTTTCTGAGCTTTTTCGAGTTCTTGGCGGCGAGCATCACTAATTTTCCTTCTTGCCGCTCGCCTTCTCCTTGGTTTATTGTTTTCCACAGAATTATTTTTTTCTTCTGCAGGTCTCCCAGTACTGGGATTTGTACAGTACTCAATTTGGTTACTTGTTTCATGGTTCTCACTGACGCCGTTCGTAGTGATCATGCTTTTTTTTTTGCTGACTAGTGTTGATATGAAAAAAACTCTATAGGAGTCTAATAATAAATTCCACCTATACAAAGAAAGAAAAAAATAAGGCATAAAAAAGAGAAAAAAAACAAACAGAAAAGCAAAAAAAAAAACAAGAAAAGGACCAAAAACCACCTGCTTTACATTCCTCTCTTAGTTGCTTATATGTGCATAAGGCGTTAACGGAGCTTGGTGAATCCGATATTTTCAGCATTCTCACGGAAGCACTGACGGCACACGTTAAGCTCATATTTGCGGATTAGCGCCTTTTGGTTGGAGCAGATCACACAGTGGCGGGCTCCTTTGCCCATGCCAATCTTCTGCCGGGAACGCCATTGGTCGAGGTGGCCCATGATTTTCTTGCAGAATATGTCGAACCAAGTGAGTAACTTATGCACTAAACCAAACACACACACCACATCAAAATAAGAAGAAAAAGAGAGAAAATAGAATAAGAATGATTGAAGGATACCTACAGAAACAAAAAAAAAAAAAAACAGAAGGATTCGCGAACTCACTACCACCACTACTATTACCGCTATAAAAACAGAAAGAATATGCAAAGCCAAAGAATGGTAAAGAGAATGCTTCAATCATCTTTAATCAGTGCCGGTTTTCTCTTGCTATCATGTCGCTGCAGTGGGCTGTTATTGTTACTGTGCATTAACTTTGCCAACACACTGTGGGAAAGAGCCTTCTTCTTTATTGCATTTCCTTATCTATTTTTTTTTTCAATTTACTGTTTTCATGAGCGATAGACACAATAATTCATATATATGTCTTTGTTGTATCATTTAATTAAAACCGTAGTTCCTCAGTTGTAGTCTTCAAGAAGAGCAAGCATTAGAGCTCGGTGACCCACTAGCGACACTGTACTTTCGGGTACACCCGTTACTGGATTGTAAACCTCTTGTGTTGTTTGGGATCCGCCAGCTGTCACAACTATAGATGCCCGTAGCTGCTTAAACAGATCTTCTGCAGGTTTGCCGAGAAGGGTAATGTACTTCCTTCTCAGCGCACGTAGCATGAGGGCGTTAGTCGAAACCCATATGTGACCCATCCACAGATTCTCATGACGCAGACCCGCCATACGTGCTGCACCCACAGAATCATATGAAACGGACATCATCCCGTACGGTGTCATGAGTTGCGTATTGCCAAGCTCGAGAACTGCCATCGCCCTCTCCTTGTCGTCAAGAAGTTCCAGAAGAAAGGGGTAGAGATTTGCATACCCCACATATGGTGAAAAAGACTCGTTTGGACATCCGACACGATCAGCATAGCGCTTGTGCTCCACATCCCAATGTATCTCATCTAACCAAACCTTCCAAAGTCGCTTAGAAACACTCTCAGCAAAACCCAAGTGAAGCTCGATATCACTGATGATCGTGCTAAGAAAAGCAACCCAAAAGAAAAGATCCACGTGAGCTTCATCACCATGACTTCCCATACAATAAGGTCTTGGATAATCTTCCATACCGCTAGCAGGAACACGGTCACCATCACGAGAACACCAATCATATATGGGGGGCAAACAAAAAGGACATACTGTGTTTTTAAAAGGTAATACTAAAATTACAAAATTACTATCGCCTCGAGGAAGTATCAAACATACAAGTACTACTACGTCTACTACTTCTCATCGAAGGAAACAAAGGAACAAAATTCTCAGACGCCACCTTAATCTGGTTCTCCTGCTCCCGCCGTCTTCTCGACTCGTCCTTGCTCTCACGCGCCCTCATCATCGAGGCGTTGTTCTCTTCCGACCTCGTGCGGCGGGCCACGGACAGCAACTCCTCCGTCTCGGTGCGCAGCTGCTCAGCGGCCCGGCGGCGCTTCTCCTCCAGTTGCCGGCGCAGTCTTCCTTGGCGTGCCTTCTCCTTCTCACGCAGTCTCCTCGTCAGGGCAGCCCTGCGTTCCAGGTCCTTCTCGCGCTTTCTCTGTAAGGCGCGGAGCTCCTCTGCGAGCACCAGCCTGCGCTCCTCGGCCAGTCTCGCCTTAATCTGGTTCTCCTGCTCCCGCCGTCTTCTCGACTCGTCCTTGCTCTCACGCGCCCTCATCATCGAGGCGTTGTTCTCTTCCGACCTCGTGCGGCGGGCCACGGACAGCAACTCCTCCGTCTCGGTGCGCAGCTGCTCAGCGGCCCGGCGGCGCTTCTCCTCCAGTTGCCGGCGCAGTCTTCCTTGGCGTGCCTTCTCCTTCTCACGCAGTCTCCTCGCCAGGGCAGCCTTACGTTCCCGGTCCTGTTCGCGCTTTCTCTTTAAGGCGCGGAGCTCCTCTGCGAGCACCAGCCTGTGTTTCTCGACAATCTTCGCCGAGAGCCGATTCTCACTTTGTGTTGAGTGTAGTTTTGTATTCTTGTGAATCGCAAACGTTTTTGTGTTTTGATCGTAGTTTAACTTGTGATTGTTGGTATTGTGAACATGTAGGTGGGAGTGTGTGTATGTTTGTGTTTTTTCATAACCAGCAATTTTTTTTTCGTTTTCATGACTCCTGTTACTAAAAGGTGTTATGAAGACTTTGTTTCGGTAATTGCTTTTATGTTTCTGTGTTTCTTCCATTCTACATAATGATTACCTTAGCTTTGGTGATGTGGAAAATTTACCTATGGCAAATTGCAAATGATGTGTCTGATCTTGTCTTTTAATTAAGTGGGAAACAGAGATAAAATTTTGATTGTATGTAAGGTTTTCTTTGGTGACAGAGAGAATACATATGTTTAATTTTTTGATATTGTAGTCAAAGTAAAAACAATTATTTAAAGAAAAAAATTATATACGTGCCGTACATTCCTCTCTTAGTTGCTTATATGTGCATAAGGCGTTAACGGAGCTTGGTGAATCCGATATTTTCAGCATTCTCACGGAAGCACTGACGGCACACGTTAAGCTCATATTTGCGGATTAGCGCCTTTTGGTTGGAGCAGATCACACAGTGGCGGGCTCCTTTGCCCATGCCAATCTTCTGCCGGGAACGCCATTGGTCGAGGTGGCCCATGATTTTCTTGCAGAATATGTCGAACCAAGTGAGTAACTTATGCACTAAACCAAACACACACACCACATCAAAATAAGAAGAAAAAGAGAGAAAATAGAATAAGAATGATTGAAGGATACCTACAGAAACAAAAAAAAAAAAAAACAGAAGGATTCGCGAACTCACTACCACCACTACTATTACCGCTATAAAAACAGAAAGAATATGCAAAGCCAAAGAATGGTAAAGAGAATGCTTCAATCATCTTTAATCAGTGCCGGTTTTCTCTTGCTATCATGTCGCTGCAGTGGGCTGTTATTGTTACTGTGCATTAACTTTGCCAACACACTGTGGGAAAGAGCCTTCTTCTTTATTGCATTTCCTTATCTATTTTTTTTTTCAATTTACTGTTTTCATGAGCGATAGACACAATAATTCATATATATGTCTTTGTTGTATCATTTAATTAAAACCGTAGTTCCTCAGTTGTAGTCTTCAAGAAGAGCAAGCATTAGAGCTCGGTGACCCACTAGCGACACTGTACTTTCGGGTACACCCGTTACTGGATTGTAAACCTCTTGTGTTGTTTGGGATCCGCCAGCTGTCACAACTATAGATGCCCGTAGCTGCTTAAACAGATCTTCTGCAGGTTTGCCGAGAAGGGTAATGTACTTCCTTCTCAGCGCACGTAGCATGAGGGCGTTAGTCGAAACCCATATGTGACCCATCCACAGATTCTCATGACGCAGACCCGCCATACGTGCTGCACCCACAGAATCATATGAAACGGACATCATCCCGTACGGTGTCATGAGTTGCGTATTGCCAAGCTCGAGAACTGCCATCGCCCTCTCCTTGTCGTCAAGAAGTTCCAGAAGAAAGGGGTAGAGATTTGCATACCCCACATATGGTGAAAAAGACTCGTTTGGACATCCGACACGATCAGCATAGCGCTTGTGCTCCACATCCCAATGTATCTCATCTAACCAAACCTTCCAAAGTCGCTTAGAAACACTCTCAGCAAAACCCAAGTGAAGCTCGATATCACTGATGATCGTGCTAAGAAAAGCAACCCAAGAGAAAAGATCCACGTGAGCTTCATCACCATGACTTCCCATACAATAAGGTCTTGGATAATCTTCCATACCGCTAGCAGGAACACGGTCACCATCACGAGAACGCCAACGATACATAGGAGCAGAATATCTGGTATCTGTTTCGTTTTCAAAAGAAGAAGCAAGTGTCTCAAGACTTACATTATTATTCCGGGAACTTTGAGTAATGTGGAACCAGTTCCTCCAGCGGCGTAGCGATGGTAACAATAAGTGAAAGAATTCTGTTTCTTTTCTCAAAGTTTGATCATCGCTAAGAATTTGACGAAGTGCGAGGAGTATTGTGGGAGGTGCTGCGAAGGTAAGGTGTTCGTAACGACTTGAAGGAGGACTGATTGAGCGTAAAGCAGCTGTAAAGGTTGCATGTCGAGGTATAAATCCACTAACTTTATCCTGAGCGTCCACGAGCCACGATGCGATGGCTTCCTTTGTCCATTCTTTGTTCCAGTGTGTAATGAATAGTAGTTGTAACCCTGTCAGTGTTATATCTCCATATGCCCCCTCCACACGTGAAGCTACAGCTCCAAAAGCTGATACATCACTTGACACTTCATGGAGTTGTCCATCAGAGTGAACTGTCACTGCGCTTCCTTGTTTGTCCCACAGATCGTCAATGCTACGGTCTGCGTACAAATAACGTCCATGCCAATATCCCCATGCACTCAGTGCTCCACTAAGCAAACGACGCGCTCTGTTAACATACAGCTTAGGTTTAATACGAAAACCTTTTGACCATGGTGTGACGAGTTTTCGCATGTTATGTAAAATATCTTTTTCTCGTAAACGGAAAGCATTCGTGAGTTGACATGTTGTAAGTGCATCATACGTTGCAACGAACGGACGATGTACAGTTGCATCCTGACCTGCTGCAACAAGATGAGAAGCATGACGCATTGACATTTCTACCCTAAAATCTGATTCGTATCGTTTTCGAAATACCATAACATTATGTGTATTAGATCCTTCTTGAGGGTTCTTCCACTGGTACTTTCTTGATGATTCCGTAGTGTATGCATGTGCACCAGATGGTACTTTGCGAAAGTCAACATCACGAAGAAATTCACCTTCTGGAGCTCTTAAACCATACACTTGCCATCGTGATGGTGTAAAAAACGGATTGTGATCATCATGTAGAATTAACATGAATTCTTCTCGTCGTCCTTCAGAATCTTCAAACTCACTTTTAATTTGTGGATCCCATGATTCATCCATATCCGTTGTTTTCTCAGGCTCAAAAGCATCCCCACCATCATTTATGAGATATACAACGAAAGTTATGGCCTTTGCACCGTCCATACTTCCATGAACACGTACATGCCAAGTATCTCCTGAGGGACTCTTTAGGAATTCAATATTGATAGACAATAGTCCATCATGTATTAATTGACGTCCATAATGAACTCCATCATGAACTACCCATGAAGCTTCAAAATTACTTGATTTTTCATCAGATATAACACCATCATTAGTGTTATCACGTCGCTGAACTGATAACACATCCGACATTTTGTATCGAATAGGATATTGACCTGCATCATCATACCACGCAATACCAATGTAAACCGGTTTGGGTGTACGTGTCTTCATTGCAAATATCAAACCTGGTTCATATGTTCCCCACAGCATTGTTTTGTTATACTCAAGGGATGGAAAGCGTGGTGGAGATTCCTGATAACGATGATATCCCTCTTCCAATGCAGTAATGGTATCATCACTCCAAAGTTTCTCTACAGCTCTACAACGCAACCTCTGAAAAACAAAGAACGGGGTGTAGTAGTAAATAACACCTAGGGGTAACCCGAGAATTACTACAAAAAAGATTATACGGGCGATAATCTCCTTGAAAGTCAAAGCTGGTAATGCCTCCTCATTCTTAGATCGGTAACTTTTTGTTTTTTTAATATCACTAGTTGTGATCTCCTTTTTACTGTCACCACGCGCCAGAAGAGGACGACGATCACGCATTCTAGAAAAAAAAAAAAAAACTTGTTATTGATTTGACCCTTTCCTTTATATGTATTGCATTTATTACAATTTTTTTTTATTATAAAAATAGTAATAACAATAATAAGAAGAAACAGTTTTTTTTTTTTTTTTTTTTTTTTTTTTTATGCACACCATCAAGGGAAGTGATCACAAAGGTTTAATTTCTTCGAATGGTTCAATATATTAATATGTTTCCTATGATTTTTTTATTATTATTGAGTAATATATATATATATATATATATATATATATATAAAAGAGAAATGCGTCGATAGCATTATCGGTCTAAAACGTTATTAACAACATCACTCATACAAGAAACCAAATAAGGATAGAACCCACAAATCAGCGGTGGTTAAAACTTCCACAAAAGTAGTTATGAGAGAAAAACCAGATTAAAAAAAAAATAATAATAAGCAAACAATAGGTAAGGAATGAGACAAAAAGAAGGTTGCACAACCTCCATTAGTTTTTTTTTTTTTCTTTTTAACTCAGATGAAGGTATTTCCCTTCACAATGAAAGAGAAAATCTCTCTGAGTTCCGGTAAAGTATAGCTTTCCCCACGTAATTACTCTATTGGTAGTAGGATGCGAAGCCAGAAAAGAGCAAAGAGGATTTACATCTGGTCTAGAAGTCAAGTAGTTATTTCCCTGTTTTGCTTGGCAGTCTCCATATAAACAAAGAAAATAACAATTATAATTTGACGCAGTACATCGGTCAGAAACACATTTTTACCTCCATTCATCTTTAGGAACTGTACGAGAGTGGAGTTCATGTCTGCAATCTGTCATGTTAATATTGCTTTGATTCTTTATTTGTGTGTTAGTATTTATTAACAGCACCCCACACATTCATACATACATACACATACACAAAAAAATAAAGAAAAACTCAGATAACACTCACTAAGTTGGGCAAATAAGATAAACAAGGAGAAAAGCAGTTTACTCTTCTTGTTATTATTTTTATGTGTTTTAGCAGGAGGACGAGAATAAAGTGAATGGGACAGGAGTACGAAATAAAGTTACCAAATAACAACTGAAAAAAAAAAAGACAGGTGTAAGAAGAAATTAAAAAAAAAAAAAAAAAGAAAGGTCAAAGAGATAATTTACAATATATATATATATATATATATAATAACAATAACAAATAATAATAATAATAATAATAATAATAATAATAATAATAATAATAATAATAATAATAATAAAAGTGCATCTAAAGTGATTCGCAATTCAACAAAATATCAGAAGTATCATTGTTATTGCTTTTTATAATCTCAAAATGCTGAAGGACTGTACAGTACTTTTGGTTTTCGCCTTTGCTTCGATGATTGTCGTGGTGATCCTGTGGTATCTGTTCTCATGCTTTCTGTTTTGTAGTTTTGCCGCTGTCCTCTGGGCGGTGTCGCTGGCAACAACAAAGAGTGTATCTCTGGACTTTCTGCCATTACGTTTCTATCTTTTCTATTCACAACGCCACTTACCGGTGACGGCGTTTTAGACTCCATTTCCTGTTCTCCTCTTACTTTATCAGGTGAATGGACTGCAACAACAGCTACAGTTGGGAAATTGTTATTTCCTTTCCCTCTCTGTATATCCTTTATACCGCTTCTCTGCAGTGTTGTTGCACGAACCCGGGTAGACGAGACAACCCACTCTGGTGTTGGTTCGCGTTTAAGGCTATCATGATTGGCAGAAGGCATTTCACTCACTGGAACAGTCCTCGTTATGCCTACAGCACTCCACAGAGTATCACTCTCAGTGTTATTATTATTATTATTATTATTATTATTATTATTATTATTATTATTATTATTATTATTATAAAATTCCCTGTTATCTTGTTTTTGACGAGACAATACAGGGGTGTGCCGAACATTTAATGGTAATTGAGTATTATAAGAAGAAGCTGTGAGGAAGTCTATGAGTTCTTTTTCTGCAAGTTTCAGACGGGCTTCATATTTCTTTACAGTTTGCCTGTGAGCTTCAATTTCTGCTGCTAATCGTCGTGCCAACGCCTCATGATTTTTCGTAGTACTTCGCACGACTTCTTGCAGATCACACTGAAATCCTTCCAAGAGACCTTCCAAATTACTTTTTCCTCCTTTGGAGGGAACTGTATTAACAGATACAGATTTCTTTTTACAAAGAAGGAGTTTAACATCACCTAATGCACGATAACAAGCACGTAATACATCACATGCCTCTAATAAATTTTTTTTCTCTATTTTGGCACCTGCTGAGGTTCCTTTTAAATATGATGATGATGATACTGGAACTGTAAAGCCTTCTGTACTTTCCCCCCAGTGCTGCTCTAACTTATTGTTATTACTGTTTGGTTGATTCTGGAATGAAGAATTCATTGGATAATCAGGGGTGATGTCTACTAAAAAATGACCCTTTGTATTTATACCATTCTGTTGATCTTTTAAAGATATCCATTGCTGAATAGAAAGTGTTTGAGCAAAATCCATATGGTAGTTAAATACCCAACGTGTTGCCTTTTCAATAGCTTGTTGAATATCTACGATAAAGTTAGAAATCTGCTCCAATAGTAAAAAATGTTCTGCCTCCTCCAGTTTCAATTTCGCCTCACTACTTTGTATACCCTCAGTAACTCGTAAAACTAACGCACTTAATACACCAGGGTGAGTCCCATCCACTAACTCCCACTCCTCCGTTCCATTGTAGGTGTGATCTTTGCATTTTTCCAACAGTGACGTCAAGGCATCACGTAAAAAACGACGTTCTTCCTCTTGTGTTCGAAGAAGAAAATGAACTTCTGCACATTCTGATAGTTGTCTATCCCGCACGGCAGAAATTAAGCGACTGGCTAATTGTTCACACCGCTGCTCAAGACGCACCACACGTTCCATATTATTATCATTACCGTTATTTTGATATTTATCAGGTATACGATAATGCAGGAGATTCGCCAGTCGTTCTACTTCCCGATGGGCTTCTTCTAACTGTCGTCGCAGAGAATTATTTTCATGTCTAAGTGCACCAATGACTGCCTCTGCATTTGAGTTTCCCACTGCCATTCGTACAAAGTGCCCGATACTCCTCACGCTAAGAAGAGAGAGGAGAGGGAAAAAAACAAAAACAAACAAACAAAAACAACTCTGCCTCTTTGCCGAGGGGGGGGGGTGCTCCTCTCTGCAGATGCCAATTAGCACAGCTCTTCTCTACTTCCAGGGAAGAGAGAGAGAGAGAGAGATAACTTCAAAAAAAAAGGCACAGTGAGAGGGAAAGGATGTACTCAATAAACAAATTAAAGAATAAACAATAAATAAGAGAAGAGAAAAGAAAAGAAAAGGAAAGAAAATGACTGAACATTACAAAGAAAAAGGACATGAAGAGAGAGAGAGAACACTCAGAAATCACAAAAAAAAAGAATGAATAAATAAATAATTGAATAAACAAAGAAAAAGAACCACCCACACTCGGTTTTAGTGCTCCTCTCCTTCCACCAAAATTCCCCATGCAATCAAAGAAAAAAAAAAAAAACACATGTACAAATAAATAAATAAAAAAATAAATAAATAAATAAATAAATAAATGGGGGAAAAAAATATTCATCAAGTAGAAATGAGTTCTTTTCCATTTGTTTACACTTTGTTTTACTTTGTTTTATTCTCTTTTTTTTTATCATTATGGTGTCCTCCTTAACCAAGACCACTTGTTCTTTCGTTCTTGTACCACCTTTCGCGCAATATCACGGAGGTGTTCATTAATCATATCGGCAACCACCTCTTCTGAAAACATCTTAACAACATCTTGACGAGCACGTTTCCCAACAATTCTTGCATGTTCTCTATTTTGCACAACATACACCATTAACTCTGCGGTCGCATTGACGCTTGGTATAGCCCATTTCCTACCCTCAATACTTCCATATGCACTGTCTTTAGGCAGTTCTTCAAGTCCATCAAGAGGAATAAGAAAAGAATTATCTCGTGTTGCGAATGCTGTAGATCCTGCCCAATTGGTCGTTATCACCGGAAGCTCCATCGACATTGCTTCCATTGCTGGTACACCCCATCCTTCTCCACGTGTTGGGAGTACAAAGGCATCTGAACTTCGATAAAGGCGGTACATATCATCTGTACGGAGATCACCTTCGTAGATTATCACTAAACGTGGAAATTGACTCAATGAGGTAAAGTTAGATATTTTTGCTGTATGCATAGCCCAATTCCATAGTGTTCGCTCCAAATCTTCTTTCGTCGAAACTGAGGAAAACCCTTTTAAAAATGTAGTCTTTATGTATAGACATACATCATCATGAAGGGGGGTTCCAGGTCCAAACGCTTTCCAATATGCTGAAAGTAAGATATCCCATCCTTTTCGAGGTTCCCATTTAAAAACACTAAGGAAAATAAAACGTTTTTTTATTAATAAAGATTCATTATCAGGTCGATTTGTCCAATAATCTACTCTACTTCCGTTATGACTTTGTATCCATTCCTCAGGAGGACCATCAAAGGGAGTAAAATGAGTTGGATCAATTATATATGGATCTACAGACTCTGGTATCACGTGAATTAATTCTTCTCGTACCCCTGAACGTTTATAGACTTCTTTAAAAAAGTCACATGTTACCCAAAGTTCATCAAGATAAGTATTTATACTATCCACATGTTTTTTCAACAACTTTGAATTTTCAGTTAGAATACGAGCGATCCTATATTCAGAAAACACCTGATCCAATGGTATAAAATCAACATAAAAAGGACTATTGTGTAGAAATGTAATGTATACAACAGAATTTTTTTCATATATATTATGTTCTGAAGTATTAATAGTTGTACCAATTTTTAATTTATCCACTTCATTCTCTATTTCTTCTTCTTCTTCTTCCTTTTCTATTGGCTCCTGACGCCATGCGGCCAAGTGTCCCCAACGATTTATTCCCATTTGTGTGCGATACAGTGCATCCATTGCCCCTTGTGGTATACCAGGACACCATAAAGAACGATATCCCCATAAAACTACCAAAAGACGTTGTTGTAAAGGTATAAAGTAATGTGTACCTTCCATCATCATTCCAGAACATCGGGTAACTCCGTAATTAGCTAAAACACGTAATTCAATAATTGGTAATTTTTCTTTTTCTTCAATATTTCTTGTTAAAGGAATCTTTTTTTGTGATAGTGGTTCACCTGCTCTCCTATGAAATAATTCTCCTGCAAAAGTTCCCCATCGTTTAGCAAAATCTCCAGTTAAAACAAATGAAGGTGTATAATAAGAAAGGATAATATTTTCCATTGTTTCTGAGATGATATTAAAAAAAGGTTTTACATTACGAAACCTATTTACACGTTCCATTGGAATTGTCCATGCAATCGCCATTGCTTTACTACTCCATACCTCCCAATCTGGTAATTTACTTTGTAACCTAAAAGAAAAATCCCATCCCATCATATCATCTGCTTGCATAATATCTGGCCAGAGTGTAGGAAAACTATTTTGAAGACCCCATTTCTGTACAAGAAAATTATCCTTCTCTGGATCATTTGGTAACACTGTTTCCCGAACTAAAGACCATCCTCTTGTCCCAAGTCTACTAGACGTATTTTTTCGCATAGAAGGCATAAATCCACCTACAGTATCATACACACCACGATGAAATAATGTACAAAATGAAGATACAGCATCTACACGCCCTTCCCAGGTCTGTACTCGTTCATCTAATGCGTTGTATCCATTAAACCATCGAGTTAAGAAAAGACCATTAACGGTGCGGTTCCAATTACCCCCATAACTAACAAATACTCCCTTATCTAAAGTAATGTAATCTGCAATATACGTTTTATTACGTTCTTCCCAGTAACGTTGGAGAATCACTGGAAACGTCGGTTCCTCTTGCTGTAAAAATATACCACCCTCACCAAGTTGTTGCCATGGGAATATTCCTTTTCTTCTTCTTCTTTCTTCTTCTACTACTACGGTATCTCTCATTTGAGTTCCACTCTTATTCGTTGTATTTTCTCTATTCCTTTTACTATTTGAGAAGGGTCGTTTAGACAAAATACTGCACTGCACCGCCGACACTCGTCCCTCATTCCGTGATGCTGTTGACAAGAGTTGTTGCATAAACCCACCAGAATCATGTGGAGTCGCATTTAGGTTCTTCTCAGTCCACAACACGGGAACTAAAAAATCTGCAAGAACAAGAAAGTACTTTGTGCGAAGAGGAAAGGCTGTGAGGCCTAAATCCACGTATTTATCAAAGGCATCATATCCATGCAGAGAATTGAAATGACTTCTTGTTGTTGAGTGAGAAACATATACAACCGCCTTAACACAACTACAAAACGCAGTATTATTACTACCAGCAGAAAAACTCCAAGAATTCCATATTTCATCTTTTATACCAGGAAATAATCCGGAATTTGTTGTCAATGTTCTCTCTGGAAACTCAGTTGCCAAAGTCTGCATAATTTTATTTAATGCTTCTTTTTCTTTTCTGTGAGACATAGACATTTGTACAACGACAACGTTTACTTCAATAAATGAAGAATTGTTTTCGTCCAAGGCACACACAGCATCAGACATCTTTGAAGAAGGACGGAACCACTTTCGTAATGCTAATACTGGATCATTAAAAGTGGGAAGTATGATAGTAACAAGGGCATGACTATTGAAGCTTTCTTTAACTATAGTCGGCTCTATAATTCTCTCACCTTCTCTTTCCTTGGGAACAGCCCGTACAATCCAGAATGATAATAGTAATAATAATAATAATAATAATAGAAATAACATTATAAAAAAGAATATATTTCTCCGTTTGCGACGTATACCTCCACGAGAAGTGAGAGGAGATACTCCTACATTCTTTAATTGTGGAACAACCCTTTTTCGCATACTTTTTTTTTTTTAATAACAAAAACAAAATAAAAATAAAAAATAAAACACAACCTTCTTCTCATGAAAAAAACAATCCAGTACAGAAACCTTATCCCCAAGAAAAACTTCTATCGTTATCTCTTTCTTTTTTTTCTCTCTCTACATACACACATGTAGAGAAATAACAATACAAAAAAAAAAATAATAATAATAATAATAATAATAATAATAATAATAATAACACACATATTCCCCTGATGAGCTCTCATCACCGATTTGTACTCTCTCGGAGAGAGTCCATATTATATGAATAGAAACTTCAACTAGCCATCACTAAATAGCAATCAAAAATAAACAATAATAATAATCATCATAATAATAATAATAGAGAGCAAGAAGAAAACCCTTCATTGAGGGGATTTAACGTTACGGAGTCCAGAACGCCACGCTCTTTCTATCTGTCTTGTACCATCGATCCAATCTTTACCTTCAGCAATATCTTTAGATGCATTAAACCCCATACGAGCGTAGAATCTCTCTGTGTTTTTAGCTGCCATTGCCTTCACCTCAGTGGTAGTAGTTCCGTTTACTGCAAAAGCACTACTACAGCATAATGGTGCACTTCTACCACGACGTTCTCCTGTAGAAGGAAGAGCAATAGGTGAGTTTGCATCACCCACCAAAGCGGCTCTAAACAAAACACCAGCATACAGTTTCTTTCCGTCAGCACTCCATATCTCTTGTACAAGTACCACACGACCGTCACGGGGTGTGTCATTACCATCACTACCTTTACTCGTTTCAGCTGAGGGAGTAGTATTAATAATATTAGAACTGGTATTAGTTCCAGAATCATTTGCGCCTTCAAATCTCAGAACCTCTGTTGTGACAAGATACCTTCGAAAGGGTGGCATTTCTCTCACAAACTGCATAACAACAGAGGCAGCTACAAAATTTACCCTGGCCTTCAGTAAGACTGGAAATAAACCTGAATAACCTCCAAAATGCCAACGAGCAAGTTCACAAATCTCAAGGTATTTAGAGTTATTAACATGCCCTAAGATATCAACCATCCGTAATCCGGCGTAGACATAGGTATAGTGTTTATCTAATGGAGTGATAATATTCTGAGGATTAGCACGCAAAGCACGCCAACGTTGGCAGACGCCATACAAAAGGTACCCAAGGCTCCGGAAGAGGTGAAAAAATAACATGATTGCTAACAAGAAGAAGTAAAAAAGAAAAAAAAAAGAAAAAAGTGAATACCAGAAAATACGCAAAAGGGCAGAAATAGAAGAAATATATATATATATATATATATATACTCTGTCATCACGTGCGCCTGTCCAAATCCTTCATTTCTTTCTTCTTTCTGTGCAACCTCTCTTTATCTTCTTTTTTTTTTCTTGTATCCATGTTTTCCCTTTTTATGCACCTTCTCCCTTCTCCCTTCTCCCTTCTCCCTTCTTCTTCTTCTTCTTCCTATTCCCACTGGTTAGGGTGAAGGGATAGAAGAACCCTCTTTATATCGTTGTGTCCATGTGGCACTTAATTCATCAAAGTCTCGTCCATCACGCCGCTGCGCCGGTACATCTCTGTCGCCAAACATGACTCGACCAAGCCAAGGTTTATTCTCCGGTAATAGAGCGTTGTTAATGCCCTTCACCACAAAATCCATCGCCTGTTCAGATAGTTTTCCCTCTTCCTTATACTCCTCACTAAAACGTTGTGCCCATCCCTCTTCCTCAAGTCTCTGTAGAGAATAGAGCATGGCGTAATAGGCTTCCATGTTCATCGCTACATGGCATCGTCGCATCGCATAAAAAACAGCAAGAGCTTCTGTGAATGAATCTGTTCGAGCGAAAAGATGTTGAATGGTGCGCACTGATAATTCCCTACCATTACGTCCAGCAAGATGCATAAGACGTTCCAAATGTTCAGTGCTCTTTGCAGAATCTTTGCCTAATGGAACACATAATAACAATAGTCGATCAAATGCATCACCTAGTCCTCGGCTCACATCTTCTTCACGAGGTGTGGATGGATCTAATTTGTACTTTTCAATTAATTCAGCCACACGCTGCGCACGCTGCTCAATATCGGATGTAGCTTCAGTTGACAACCACAACTCATGTATTTCCCCACGAGCTGCTGAAGCCTTTTCCATTACAGTATAAACATCAGTAGTAGATGACTTTGTTGATGAGGCAGTACCAGTACCAGTACCAGTTGTCTTCTCACTTCTATCATTTTCTTCTGCATTTACTCCTAATGATGATGATGTTGTTGTCGTTGTTGTTTTTGTTTTTGAGCACCAGCGATGCCCACGAAAAAGCAATGCAGCTTGCACGGAGGCACCAACCTCTAGGTATAAACGACGCATGCTGATACGGTATCCTTTACTCTTAACGAAAACCTTCTCTTAATCGTACCAAAGAAAAAAGAGAAAAGCAAAAAAAAAAAAAGAATAAAAAAAAAAAAATAATGATTTTCTTGTATTAAAAAGAGAAATTACTTTTGAAACGGCTTGTCATACATTCTTTTTTTTTTTTTTAATTTTCACTTAACAAGATCCGAACTGGATTCACTCGACACTCATGCACGAATTCATGCATGAAAAAAGGAAGAGAAGGAA